TTCAAAGAGGAAATCATTAGGAATATTCCAGAATCAAAGAAATACGTTATTCTAAAATTCTTGGGTCAAAGAAGAAATAATAATGGAAATTTAGAAATACTTCGATCAGAATGATAATAAAGATACCTTATATCAAAACCTCTGGGTACAGCAAAACTGATGCTTTGAGGAAAATTTTTACCTTAAAATACTTACGTCAGAAAAGAAGCAAGACTGAAAATTGATGAGCTAAGTGTAAATTACAAAGTAAGAAAAAGAGTCAGACAGTAAACTCAAGGAAAATAGAAGGAACAGTAAACTCAAAGAAAGTAACAAAGGTAAGACAACTATTAATGAAGGATAAAACAAAAAATAACTGAGAAGCTAACCAAAGGAAAAGTGGGTTCTTTGACCACACACTCAGTGGAGGCTGGGGAGCCGAGCCAGAGTCAGGGCCAGTACAGTGGTAACCGTTGGACTGACCATTGCAGCTGTAGGATTTGCAGACCATTATGTCTGGCAAGCCACGAAACATACGGAGCCTCAAGTAAAACTAGTTTTTCAAACTCTACCCAAATCTGCCTCTAGTGGTGGCTATGATAGAGATGTGTTTGAACCCAAAATGACAAAATGAGAAGCAGCATTAATACTAGGCGTAAGCTAGTTACGCCTGGGTGACCAGTCAAGTAAGGGTCTGCCTTCGGCTCAGATCATGATCCCAGGGTCCTGGAATCGAGTCCCACATCAGGCTCCTTGCTCAGTGGGGAACCTGCTTCTCCTTCTGCCTCTGCCTGCCACTCTGCCTACTTGTGATCTCTCTCTCTATCTCTCTCTCTGTCAAATAAATAAATAAAATCTTTAAAAAAAAATAAAAAAATACTAGGCGTAAGTCCTACTGCCAATAAAGAAAAAAATAGGAGATGTTCACCGATAAATTATGCTTTTAAATCACCCAGACAAGGGAGGATCTCCTTATATAGCAACCCAAATCAATGAAGCTAAAGATTTACAAGAAGGTCAAGCTAAAAGTTGAAGTAAGTGTATGATGAATTTTAAGTTCTTCTTAGTTTAGGTATATGAGTGCCAGCTTTTTATAATAGACTGCCTCAAAGCTACAAATTTTAAAGATGACTTAACACAGGCTAAAACAATGCTTTGGTATAAGTTTCTTCTTTGAATTTGAGTATTTATTTTATTTTTTTTAGAACATCATTCTCTCTCTTTTTTTTTAAAGATTTTATTTATTTGACAGAGAGAGACACAGCGAGAGAGGGAACACAAGCAGGGAGGAGGGTCAGAGGGAGAGGGAGAAGCAGGTTTCCCGCGGAGCAGGGAACCTGAGGCGGGGCTCCATCCCAGGATCCTGGGATCACGAGCCCAAGCCTAAGGCAGACGCTTAATGACTGAGCCACCCAGGCGCCCCTCGAATTTAAGCATTTTAAATCAGCTTATAGAATATTTGGAGATTTAACACTCAGAAATTGTGGATAAATACATACGATTTGAATAGAAATATTGTTCATTATTCTTTTAGCAAATAATTTGTTACATACTTCAAGGCAAAATGAATGCAACAGTGGCTGGCTTTCAAGGAGCCCCCAATCTAATGGGACACTGATAAACTCATAATTAAAATATAATATGATAAATATTTTTTAAAGTTGGCTCTTTGAAAAGAATAACAAAATAGACAAGTCTCTGGTAAAACCAATTTAAAAAAAGAGAAATTCAGAAATAAATAATACAATGAATAAAAGGTTGCTACAGCTACAGTAGATACCATAACGATAGCCAGAAATATATCAACTACTTTATGCCAGTAAATTTGAAAACTTAGATAAAAATTCTAGGAAAATATAACTTTCTAAAACTAATGAAAGAATAAATAAAATTTCTGGACAACCTTATAAATCTTAAATGAACTGAAACAGTAATTTAAAATCTTCCCACTTAGGAAAGAAAGTAGGGAGGGGGACGTAAAATTCTGTAGACATGTCCTAGCAAACATTCAAAGAAGTGGTCTTTCAATTGTATATAAAATCAATAAGGGGATATTCTGTCTTTTTATATACTCCTTTATTTATTATTCTTTGAAGGTAGTATAACTTTAATATCCAAACCAGACTTGGACATCCAATAACGAAAAACTAAAGGTCCATTTTCTTCATGCATTAGTATCTAGAAATCCTAAATGAAACAGTAGCAAACAAATTCTAACAGTATATAAAAAAGATAATACACCCATGAGCCAGTCAGGTTTATCCAAGAATGCAAGGTAGTTTAATATTGGATGATGAGCACCGGGTGATGTATGGAAGTGTTGAATCACTATATTGTATACCTGAAACTAATATGACACTGTATGTTAAGCACCTGAAATTAAAATAAAAACTTAAAAAAGAGAAAATAGCTAAATGTTATTTACTCATGAACAGCTTAAAGAATAAAAATATAGGACCACTCTAATAGATCATTAAAATGCATTCAGTAAAATTCAACAGGCATTCCTAATTTTTTTAAAAACCCACTGTAAAAGGAAGTAGAAAAGAAATTAGCTTGACATAGAACATCTACATAAAACATACAATATACATCATCCTAAAAAGGGAAATGTAGAACAAAGAGAGGATATGCACTATTTCTACTTCTATTCATCATTGCACTAGAGGTTCTAGCTTGTGCAATAAAATAAGAAGAAAAAGAAAGAAAGGCTTAATAAAAGAAAAAAGCTATCATCATTTGCAGACAGTGTGATTATTCATATAGAAAATCCAAAAGAATCTGTAAATAAATTAACAAATCAATTAAAAAATCAAAGTTGCTTATATAAAATCAAAATATAAAAGTCAATTTTATTTTATACACCAGTAACAATAAAATCACAATACAAAATACGTGATTCATAAAAGAACCTAGCAATAAATCTAACAAATGACATAAGATCTATATACAGATAATTATAATTATAATACAAATATCAATGTATTGAAAGAAGATCTAAATAAAGGAGAGGTATTTCAAGCTAATGAATATGAAGGCCTTAGAAAGATGTTAATGTTCCCCAAACTGATCTCTAGATTCAATGTAACTCCAGCAAAACTCTCAACAGGGAATCTTCTGCCTCTGATAATAGTAGACTAGTTAATTCAGACAAAGCTTCCTACAGAAGACAGCTTTAAAAATCTGGCATATATGTATACTTTTTAAAGATTTATTTATTTATTTATTTATTTATTTGAGAGAGAGAGAGAGAGGGAGCAGGGGAAGAGGCAGATGGAGAGGGAAGGAGAGAATCTCAAGCAGACTCCCCACTGGGCGTGGAGCCCAACATGAGGCTCAATGCCACGACCCTGAGATCATGACGTGAGCCAAAACCAAGAAGCAGATGCTCAACCGACTGAGCCACCCCGCTGCCCCTGGCATATATATATTTTTAAATCTTCTTAAAATCATAAAAGAGCTTACTAGATCAAGATCAGCATAGCACTAGAGATGCTTTTACTCTGGGGCTATTTAGTGATCTTGACTAGGCAACCTAGAAGATGAGATGCAATTTTTGAGTCTTTGCAGAGTTAGGCATACAAAAATTGGAGTCCAACACTGCCCAGGGGGAATCCTGGCAAGCTACCACCCTCTTTGGGGCAGGAATGAGGATAAAATATAAATGAACCAACCTCCACATAGCCTGCAGCCCAGTTTCAAGCCATCTGGATGGCTCAGATAATCTCAAGCCTGAAATTGTATGAAGATGATCTTGGGTTGCTAGTGTTACCAGGAACTGGCAAGCAGTGGGAAAAAAAAAAAGTCTTCTATAGAGGAAGATAATTTCACCCTTGGCCTCAAATTGTTCCTACAAATAATTTTTCTAATACAATGTCCGGTACACAATTAAAGTAAACCAAGAACAAAATAAGCAGACACCAGCAGAAATTACAACAGAAACAGACATGCAGGGTCTCCAGAGAGTGGAATTCTCAAACACAGACTACAAAATAAGTATCTTAACTATGACCAAGAAGATAACCTCAAACGTAAAAACCTTGGCAAGAAACTGAGAACTGTAAAAGGTAGCACAGTAGGTTTGAAAAAGGATCAAACTAAAATTCTAGAACTAAAAAAATAAATAACTGAAAAAAACCCATATTGATGACTTTAATAGCAGTTAAGACATGGCTACCGAGAAAATTAGCAAACTGGATTATCAGTAAAAATGAATGATGTACGCACACATATACACATATAATCCAAAAGAAGAATGAAAAGAGAAAAACATAGAAGAGACGTAAAGAATACGATCAGAAGGTATAACATATATTTAACTGAAGTCCCTGAAAGGTGAGAAAGTGGAACCAGAAGCAATATGAGAAGAGATAATGACCCACATTTTTCCAAAAACAGATGAAGGACTTAAATTCAGTTTCAAGTATCTCAACAAATCCCAGGCAAGATAAATAAAAAGAAACCTACAGACAGGTACCTTACAAGGGTTTCCAGCCTCCTACACCCCTGGCTTGCCTTGGAAGGTTGCTTGGCCCCTTCTGGACCTCAGTTTTGTAAATACAAAATTACAAAATACAACCTACTTCATAAGGATAGTAAAATGACTAAATGAAATAATATCTGGAAAGTGCTTAGCAAGTCACCTGACATGTGTCAGGTGTAACCGGCTTTCTGTAACCGGCTATAAATATTGGCTAATGCTATTTATCATTAACACTTGCCACACCGGCAGAAATGCCCCGTTTACCTGGCAGTCAGAGTGAGAAGGCAAGTCGCCTCTGACTACCACCACACCTTTCTTATACCCCAGAGGTGGTGGTGCAGATATCCAGAAAGGGACGTTCCTCATCCCGGGCTCCCACACAGGCACCCAGCATGGGACATGGGGCAAGGACCCTCAGGTCCCACCCCTACCCGCCCTGGCCCCGCCCACCCCCACGTGGCCACACCCACTCCCAAAGGCCCGCAGAGCTGTTGCCTAGCAGTGTGTGTTGCGCTTTAGCGGGTGCTAGCGGCCAGCCATGCCGAAGGACGCGGTGGTCATCATTCGCTACGGGCCGTACAGTGCAGTCGGCCTGTCTGTGGAGTACCGAACCTTCCGCCTGGAGGGCCTGCAAGGTGGGCAGCCGAGCAACGGAGGCACCCAACTCCATGTGCCCAGGTGCACCCCAGCCTCTGAACACGGGTGCAGACTGTGCCCTCTGCCTCTACCTCCTTCCTTCCTCAGACTCTAACCTAGTCCATAACCTGCAGAAAGTCTTCCCACTGGGGACCAGGCAGTTTACACAAGTTATTTGGATAGGAGGGATTACATACTCTGCTCTAGGCATTGAGAAACTGAAGATCAAGAACACTAAGTGACTTTTCCAAGGTCATATGGCTGGAAAATGGTGGAGAATATATACCTTCAGCATTCAATCATGCAACAAACCTTTCCTGAGCACCTAATGTATGTTGGACACTCTTCCAGGTACTGGAGACACACTGGGGAACAAAGATAGGTGGCCTTCAAGTGACCTTCTCATTGTTGACTACTAGTTGACAGTTGTGCCTGGGCCTCCAACAGAGGAATATAAGCATAGTGGGACCCGCCCCTGGCCATAATTGGAGGGGAGAAGGGGAGATCTGGAAAGGTTTATTCACTAGAATTTTACTTGAGTTGAGCTTTAAAGAGCAAGGAGAAAATAACCGGGTAAAGAGAAGAAAAAGCATGCCAGACAGAGGGACCGAAATTTGGAGGACCATGTTCCTTTCCGGCCATCTTAAACTCCATGTGTTTTCGGCTACATAGATGGAGGTATTGAGTTGGCTCTGCAGTTCTGGAGTTCAGAGAAAAAGTCTGAGCTAGAGATAGAAAGGTCTGAGTCATGGACTTGGGGACAACATACAGAAAGAGAAGAGAGCCCAGGACTGAGTCTTCAGTGCCTTAAAATGCTCTAATGTCCCAACGAAACCTTCTCGCCACTTTCTCTCTCAGGCTTCATGAGGTTCGTTGTATGTCTCAACAGTCTTTTGCCCAGACAGCTATGCATTTTTCATTTGCCCGCGTGCTGCCCACGGCTCTTCCACCCTGTGTGCGTTCTGCATTAGGTGAAACAGAGACAAGGGCCTTGTGCCAGTCCTTGAGGTAGCCCCCAGACAGGGCAGCAGAGACAAACACAGGAATTTGCAAACAAGGTGTGCTCTGCTCCCTCTAGACTCAGGGACCAGGGCCCACACGGGGGACAGGGGCTGCTGTCTTCAAGGCTGCCAGCAAACCAGGGAGGAGGGGGGGCAAGGGCAAGAGGTCACAAAGCTTTCCTACCGTTTTCAAGTTGCCTTTGTTTTGACTCAGCATTTACTCTTTTGCCAACTTTGACTATTTTCCAGAGTTCTGACAAAGTGGGTTCCCACAGTTTCTGGTGGTTTTTCTTAACTTCTCTGTGGAGAAACGGGAGTTTGGAGTGCCTACTCTGCCATTTTGCTGCTGTCTGCAGACCCTTTTTAATTATGTCTCTTGCTGCTGCCATAATCTGCATGACTGTATAGAGTTCAACTAGATCATTTCCATACCAAGAATTATATTAAAGGGGAATGCATAAATAAGCATTTGTTACAACGCACAATTTACAAGTATTGAGGCGGGGGGAGGAGGACTTCCCGTATAGTTTGCACACAAATCCCATTGACTCAACTGATCACCTCTGGTCACTTGTCTCCTACTTGCTTTCTTGGCACTGATGGCAGAGCAGAGATTAAGCACAAGGACTCTGAAGTCCAACCAATCTCCTTTTGAATTCGTCTCCACCATTTAGTAGCTGTGTGGCCAAAGTCAAGATCAAGTTATTTTACCTTTCTGAGCCTCAGTTTACCCACTGGTAAAATGGGAGCAGATTCCTACCTCACTGATGTGAGATTCCAATGGGAAAATGCACACAGTCATGAATATCATTCCTGCACATAGTAAGTGCTCAACAAGCATTAGTCTTACTACTCCAGGGCAGGGGCATTACTAGGAAGGGGAGGAGGGAGCTTTGTGGGGCATGCTGGGGAGCAGCAAGCAGCTGGGTCAGGCTGGAGGATGTTATGCAACAAGAGAGCCTGTTTTACCCTTGACCACAGGGAGCCAGCAACATTTCTTGAGCTAAAGAATGATGAGATTACGGATGTGCCTTAAGAGGCCAATTCTGTAAGAAGAGATTTGGGGAGGGGAAGTGAGAGAAAACAAATTATTAAGAAATATTAAGAGATTAGAAATGAAGTTCTGAAGTTCAGGGGAAAGACAAGACTACCTGACTACTAAAGACTACTAGAGTCAGAAGTAGTTTTGACTTTTTTTTTTTAAGATTTTATTTATTTATTTATTTGACAGAGAGTGAGAGAGCACAAACAGGGGGAGTGGGAGAGGGAGAAGTGGCTCCCTGCTCAAAGCCCGACTCAGGGCTCAATGCCAGGACCCCAGGATCACAATCCAAGCCGAAGGCAGACGCTCAACCAACTGAGCCACCCAAGCGCCCCAGTAGTTGTGACTTTAAATAACATCTATCTGCTAATAACTACCAAACTTATCTCTCCAGTCAGGACCTCTCATTGTCACTGGGATGGTTGGTAGGCATCTCAGGCTAATATGTCCAAAGTCTCTAAACTGACCTCTTAATACCCAGCCCTCTCCAACCCCTCCTGCATTCTCCTCATCTCAGTGCACACAGCTCCAGTCTTTCAGTTACTCAGGCCAAAAGGCTCGCAGGCAGCTTTCTTTCTTTTTTTATTTTTTATTTAAATTCAATTTAGTTACCATATAGTGTATTATTAGTTTCAGAGGTAGAATTTAGTGATTCATCAGTTGCGTATAACATCCAGTGCTCAGTACATCATGTGCCCTTCTTAATGCCCATCACCCAGTTACCCCATCCCCCCCCACCTCCCTTCCAGCGACCCTCAGTTTGTTTTCTAGAATTAAGAGTCTTATGGTTTGCCTTCCTGTCTGTTTTCATCTTATTTTATTTTTCCTTCCCTTCCCCGATGTTCATCTGTTTGTTTTTTAAATTCCACATATGAGTGAAATCATATGGTGTTTGTCTTTCCTGACTGACTTATTTCACTTAGCATAATCCTCTCTAGTTCCATCCAGGTTGTTGCAAATGGCCAGAGTTCATTCTTTTTGATGGCTGAGTAATATTCCATATTACTGTAGTGTATACATACACCACATCTTCTTTATCCATTCATCCATCAATGGACATCTGGGCTCTTTCTGGGTTTGGCTACTGTGGACATTGCTGCTATAACCATTGGGGTGCATATGCCCCTTCGGATCACTATGTTTGTATCCTTTGGATAAATACCTAGTAGTGCAGTTGCTGGGTCATAGGGTAGCTCTATTTTTAACTCTTTGAGGAACCTCCATACTGTTTTCCAGAGTGGTTGCACCAGCTTGCATTCCCAACAGTGTAGGAGGGTTCCCCTTTCTCCACATCCCCGCCAACATCTGTCATTTCCTGACTTGTTATTCTAGCCATTCTGACTGGTGTGAGGTGGTATCTCATCGAGGTTTTGATTTGGATTTCCCTGATGCCGAGCGATGTGGAGCACTTTATCATGTGTTTGTTGGCCATGTGGATGTTGTCTTTGCAGAAATGTCTGTTCGTGTCACAGGCATCTTTCTGTCCTCTCTTTGCCTCACACTCATCACAACCACCATCATCTCCTGCCTGGACCAGTGCCCTGGCCTCTCCCCTGAGCTCCCTGTGGCCACCCTTGTCCCCTGCAGTCCGTCCTCAGCACCAAAGCCAGGTGATGCCTTTAAACTTGAGTCAGCACACAGCCTGTGCCTCCAAAGAACATCCTGGGGGCTCCCAGCTCACTCAAGGGAGAAGACAAAGGCTGACAGTGGCCTTCCAGGCTCCTAGGGTCCTCCCTGACCTCATTTCCCCCACCACTCCCCATCCCTTCCCCTCACTCACTCCACTGCAGCCACACTGGCCTCCTCACTGGCCTTTGAACACCCCTGGTGCACTTTGGCCTTGGGGCTTGGCCGTTGCTCCACCTGGAATGCTCTTTCTCCAGATCCCTGCCTGGTCCCTTCGCTCTCTCACGGCCCCTGGGTGTTTCTCAAAAGTCACCTTCATCCACAGGCACATCTTGAGCTTCCCCATCGAAAATGTCAACACCTCCCTCTGCCCCTTTTCCCTATCTCCATTCCTTCCTTTTTTTTTTTTTTTAAGATTTTATTTATTTATTTGACAGAGAGAGAGAGAGAGAGAGGGCAAGCACAAGCAGGGGGAGTGGGAAAAGGAGAGGGAGAGGGAGAAGCAAACTCCCCACTGAGCAGGGAGCCAGATGCGGGGCTCAAGCCCAGGACCCTGGGATCATGACCTGAGCTGAAACCAAGAGTCAGACACTCAACCGAATGAGCCATCGAGGTGTCCCTATGCTAGGTACATCTAAAGGGTCAATAAACATGAGTTAAAATAAACCTGAATGGAGCTGAACACTGGATCCACAGGAGGTGAGACTTGGGGAGAAAGCAAGGAAAGGGGTGAACAGCAGTAGCCCCTCTGAGGGACGCAGAGATAGGAAAGAACCCAGAGCAAAGGAGGCCAGTGAGATGAGGATTTCAAGAAGAAAATGGCTAATGGGCACCAAACTGTTAAGTAGGAGTCATTTCTAGAAAAAGATGAATTCATGGTTGATGAACGACATAGAAAAAAGTGTTCTCAAAGACTTGCAATGAGACAGCAAGATGGCACAGAAACTTCAGAGGGCAACTTGACTGTGTCTTAAAATTTAACCATGTATTGTAGAACCCAGCTACGCCATTGCTCAGTCTCTTTCGAGTATATATATATATATATATATATATATATATATATATATACTCACACATGTACAGAGGCATGCCCAGGAATATTTTCTGCAATGTTCTTGCCGATAGTGAAAAATTGAGAACAACCAGAGAAAGAACTGGCTTAAATAAATTGTAGTCCATCCATCCCATGAAATGCAGCGCAGCAGATCCATGTATATTGATAGGGCAGGATCACCACAACACAGCGGTGAGGGAATAAGTTGTGTTCCTGAATTCCACCTACACTGTGATTCCATTTCCCTTGAAAATGACAAAGAGAAGGGGAGAGGGATGGATATGGTGATTTAACAGTTTTTGTCCCATAATTTCAAGGTTTTTAAAAAATCGTGGGTCTGCATTACATTTATAATCTGATAAAATTTTAGAGTTCAAAATAGTTTGGGGTTTTTTTTAACCAGCAAAAGTATTTTCTTTTCTTTCTTTCTTTATTTATCTATTTAAGATTTTATTTATTTTTGAGAGAGAGAGAGGGGGAGAGAGAGTGAGCACGAAGGGAGGGGGGAGCAGCAGAGGGAGAAGCAGGCTACCAGCCGAGCAGGGAGCCCAATGCGGAACTTGATCCCAAGACCCCGAGATCATGACCTGAGCTGAAGGCAGACGCTTAACACATGGAGCCACACAGGCACCCCAAAAAGTATTTTAAAGAAGTAAGAAAGGAGGTAAGTCCGAGTGTCAATCTGCTAAGAGGGGCAGGGAGAACTGAGTGAGCCACTGAGTGTGCCAATTGTTCCCCACCTCTGAGAGCACAGGGTCAAGAGAAGGTGGGCTGAAGCCTCCATCAGCAGGAGATGGAAAAGCAGGGAGAGATGAGGAAGCCAAGAGCATAAGCAGCTCTTCCCACAGTAGGGGAGGGGAAGGAGTATCTTGAGAAGATCAAGGGGAGAATTTTTATGGCTGAAGGAGAAGAGCATTGCAAGCTACCAGCAGGTGGTTGATTTTTAAAGTTAGTTTGTGTATCCCTGAATGATAATTCATATAATGTCAGCAGCCAGCACTTCCTGAGGGCTGCTGACAAATGCCAGGGTGCTAACAAAAGCAAGGATCTGCTCCTCTCCCTGTCCCCCACTCCCTCCACCACTTTAGAGTCAATCACACCAAGCACAGAGTGGTGTATTTGCACGTCCTCCTCTGTAAAATCTGCATCTCAGTTCTCTACGTCTCTTTGAAAATCATAGCCCTTTAACATGTCCCAAAGCCCTGCTGGCTTTGGAAATATGCCTGATCTTTCCTGAACTTACCGTGCCTTAAGGAATCTGAACATTTTTGTTCATTCCTTATTACCCACAAATTATAATAGTTCAGCAAAAATGTCTCTACTATGGCCTCAATATTGATGAAATTAAACTATCTAATGCTTAACAGCAAGTCCAAAGTAATTCCCTGGCCATCGTTGCTCCTTGTCTGCTATCCCGAATGAAGTATGCCAAATGACCTGCTAAAAGGAACGAAAAGGAATTGAAACCGACCCAGAAAGATAGGATCCGCCCTTATTTAGCTAAGATGCTCTCTGTGCCATTCTCCCGTCCCTAGCTGCGCATTAGCTGCACACATTAATTGTCATAAGCTTTGCAACTGGGCTGAGCAGAGGAGGGGGAGATGCCTGCCTGTCTGTTTGCTGTGACTTCCGAGCTAGCTGTGTTTAAATCACTCCCAGATGGTGCCCGCGCTGAGAAGAGGGAGGCTTTTCCGTGTCCCTTCATTTTACCCAGATCCCCCTTGAAGAATGAGGTGCCACTTCAAAGAGGCAGGCATTCTGTGGGTGGCCTTACGGCTTCTGGTTGATTTATGCCGGAGTTTAGCCACTGCCTTTGGAAAGACTTTGTTGCATGGAGTCTATTTATCTGACCTTTCTTTGACTAGACAACCCCATAGCAGCTCGTAGGAAAAAATGGGGCCTCCATGTAGAGAGGTGGCATTTGGATGAGCCGCAGGAATTCTGGTGCTTCTCCAAGTTTGATCCCTTAAGCCCACTGCTGACCACCCTGTAGCCGGGCTCGTCACAGTCTGGACGGATAAGAAGGGGACAGGTGTCCTGAGGATGAACATAGGATGTGGACTCTGAAGTGGCTCATTGCTTTCATAAGAATCAGACTTAGTTCGCTCAGTGTCCAAAAGAGTCATTGGAGGTACCCGGCATCATTACATTGAGCTTGTTTATTTAACAAACTGTTTTAACCCCGGGCACTGGGTTTGGGGGTAGGGTGGTTTATGGTCAGTGAGGGAGACATGTGCCCTCAAAGGCCCCAAGAGCCCATGCTTTGCAAACCATTTAGAAGGTGAAGTGAAGGCTGATATATTCTCTTAAGAGGATTTCTTCCTGTCGGGCTTCATTGGCTCGGGTATGCTGCAGACTCTCATTATTTGGCACCACCGACTTCCATAGGGTAGGTTATTTGGTGCATCAAGTCCTGTTTCTTAGATACACTTGGCCATGAAGGAGGACTGCTGTTCTCATAAAGCAAACCCCAAACCCAGGTGGTCCATGAGACTCAGTCAGACAGGGCCCTGCCCTGTGCAAAAGGAAAGTGCTGTGGCAGGCTGCGAGGTGCACAGCTTCTCAGGGGCTCCTCCTGCAGAGCCCCTCCTCACTTACACTGCAGTCACAGTGGGCCACACAGAACCCGTGCCTCCTTTTCTCCAGAACCCCCAGGACTTACAGAGTAGATGTTGTGTGTGAGTAGGAGAGAGGCAACACCTTGTCTCCAGAGATGGGGTGGGAATGGAGAAGCTGGTTTGTTCCTGATTTCTTCCTATCAAATTGAAATCCATTTCCCAGGAGCATCTTCTGACAAAGCAAAGCCAAGGTCCTGGAAGCCAAATTGCCTCCCACCCACTCACCTGCAGCTTTTCCCTCTCAGGTGACACGTCCCCACTCCTGAGGGGGTGCTGCTGGGAGAGTGTCTGATCCCCAGATCCACTGGCCATCCCAAACTGCATGGACCGCTTCATTCAAACAAGTCATTGGTCCAAGCTGAGTGCCTTCCTCCAAAGATGTTTAAGACAGGACACTTAAACAGGATACAGTAACATAAATATGCCAGAGAAGAAGAGGCGGGTGTTCCGTAGAGAGAGGCGTTAGCTGATACAGGGTCAATTAGGGCCACCACTGGGTGCCTGAGGAGCACTATCTTGTTAATGGAGATCCTCACTGAGTTACTCTCTGAAGTTCCTTTCCAGAAGTGAAATTAAAATCACGCAATTAAAATGTTCACAGTTGGGGCTGGATGTTCTTGAACTGATTGAAAGATGAAGAAGTGGACACGCCAACATTTTAAAACAGCAATTGTCTCTGTAATTAAATGCAATTAACCGACATAACTATCTGCTTTTCTGCACATAAGACTGATTGAAATTCTAAGACTTTAAAAAAAAAAAAAACAAAACATGACCTTCCTCTGATTCATCTTCCTATCTTAACCAAAATTCCCACCAATGTATGAAGACCATCAAAGACGGTGGTTTAGCACATTGACTCTACCACCAATGTTACACAGTGGACATATTAAGAAAACTGAGGAGAGACGTGTTAGAGAAAACAGAACCCCAAGATGGTCAATGCACATCATTTCACCTAAATGCATATATTTTTGGATTTCCACAATAGAGGATAGATCTAAAACTTTTCCATGGCTGATCTCTAGGGAAGTGATAACCAAAAAGCAGCTTCTAAAGTTTAGCTCATTAGCTTTAAAAAAAAAAAAGGCATTTTGTTTCTTATTATTATAGAAAATCTGGAAAATGCTGAAAGAATAAAGAGAAAGAGGTTTCACATACTATTACCACAGAGATATACCCACTGAGTATTTCTTTTTCTTTTCCTATTACGAGTACATATTTTAATTAGTATTAAAGATATATTTTCATAGATACTATATATATATATATATACACACCCTGATTGCTTGCTTATGTTACAAATATTTTTCTTGCTATTTAAAAAATTCATAAACATCTTTTGAAATGTTTGAATAAAACCTCATCGTATGGACCTACCATCATTTGCTTGACCATCCTCTTGTGATTGGGACAGTAGGCTATTCAAAGTATTTTCTATTGTAGTACTGCAGAAAGGAACATCTTGTTACAAAAGTCTGCCTGAATTTCTTATTTTTCCTGAGGAGACTTTCTTACAAGTGCAATTTCCCGGGCCAGAGTTTAGTTCATTTTGTAATTCTACATTTTCTTGAGGCTTTTGAGGCTTTCAGCCTGTACTGCCAAATTACCTCCAGAAAGGTGACCAATTTATTTTTCCATCCACGGGATAAGAAGTCACCTGATTCCCCACATCCCTTCCAACACTGAGCATCATCTCTATAAGAAAAGTTCAAAAACTCTTCCTAGAGACATCTCATATTTTTCACACATCCTATGGGTCTGAGGCAAATTGTAACCAAAACCTGAATTGCTCAGGTCCCTGGCTGCACCTGCCAGCAAAGGTGAGGCACATCTGGGCCAGCACCAGGTAGGTACCCACCAGCACAGCTGAGTTAAGCCAGGAGCAACTGGAGAACAAGTCAGCTGCCACCATCCATGAAGACATCTGCATATCAGGTTAATCTAGAGCCTGTCCCCATGTTACCCACATCCCTCTCCATCTTTTGCAGCTGTGTTGACCAGAGATGGACACAAGGTCATCCTAGAGAAGATAGAAGACTGGAATGTGGTAGAACTCATGGTGAACGAAGAAATTGTCTTCCACTGTAACATCAAAGACTTGGAGTTTGGTAAGTCCTTCAGCACTGCTCCCAACCAGCACTTTGCCTTCTGGGAAGCATGCTCGATTTCAAGTGGAAGTGGCCAGTGGGCTATGCCCAGATTCAAGTTGGGTTTTTTTCTGTGTCTTAAATTCTTCCTCAAAACCCTCTTCTCTGTGTTACATGCATGAGCACATCCTAAATCACACAGAGTTAAGTGCTTAATGCTCTGGAGTTCTTCCCAGGACACTGGAAACAAAAGAGGGACAGAAAGAAAGATGAAGTTTTAGCCCTAGATGCAGGCTGGCATCACGCCTCCCACACTCTGCTCAGAAATAAAAGCTTGTGCAATCCACTCATACTCTGTTAAAGGCTAGTTAACAATTGACGTGCCTGTGTACTTTGAGACTTGACCTCTAGTGGAAGCCGTGTCTTCTATGACATGACATTGTATAGAAAACTGGCCGAAAGAAAATCATACCTATTTCCCTAGGAGGTGATGGTAAACTAGACCCGCTGTGTGAAGAGGCCAGGACAGCCGTCCTAAATGCCTACTGATCTCCTCGTCCGAACAGGCATCTGAAGTCAACAGAACAGCCACTGCTTCCGGCCCTTCTATGCAGCAAACAAAAGCAGCTCTAGGTTTTGAAGGCTCTAGCAATCCAGGTAACGCCAGCCTATCCTTCAGCCTGCCCAGCACAGTGTCTCTCACCCGGCTGCACAGAAGCAGGGCCCACACAAATAATAAACACCATTTGCAGCATCTTTCAATCTCAACCCACAGGGAGAGCCCTCCAATATCAATCAGGTACACATTGAGCTGAAGGAAATAATAAAATGCAATCTAATAACAAAGCGCCATCCCGTCCTAATAACACAGAGTTTGCCAGAAGCATCTGAGAGTCCATTCTATAGTAAGTAAAGAGCTAGAATTAAAGACTGGGTGGAAGGGGGAGCAGGGAGGGAGAATAGGGGGCCCTTGAAAATCTGAACCAAAAGTTAATGTCGGTATTTGGAAACCCGGCTATCTCTACAGGTTGGTTTCTTGCTCCCAGGGCAATCATATTTTAAATGTTCATATACACGTACCTAAAGCCAAATCATTTATTATTCTTTAGAACAAGAAAATTATCTGCCTTGTTTTGCATTCGCCAGTCCAACGAGCCACTCTGAAGAGGGCCCAGAAGAACACAGGGCAGAAGATGCGGCTCCTTATTCGTCTGGGGGAAAACACAGCCTTGCGGAGTTAAGGAGGGATTTCAGTTATGGTCAGTGTAAAAATCAGCCATGTCAACATGATGTTCTTCGTGCTTGCAGGTCCGAGACTACCCGACGGTAGCACACGTTCTTCTCTAGAGAAATGCAGATATTGATCTGATGACGTTCAGTGTGAGGTCGTGGTAAAAAGGCATCACACCTTGGCAGAGAAATAGGAGAAAGAGGGAAGACTCTGGGCACCCTGGTGAAAGCACGGAGCTTTCAGGGCTCGGAGCACACCCCCCCCCCCAGGAAGGCAGCCACCCTGCTCCCTGTGGTTTCCCTGTACCTGGAGAGCCACCCTTTCCATCCCTCCTGGTGGCCTCAAGCCCCCTGCACCCCAGAACTTCCAACGCCATCTGGGAGGCGATGAAACCACTGTACAAGTTCTCTCTCGTATGTGAGGAGAAGGGGGTTGTAATTTTCATTTTCAGCCCAAGCTTCACTTACCAGGTTTCATTCAGAGATTACCATCACTTAGGACTCTGGAAATATTTAATCATCCTCGCTGAGAACCTGAGGCTAAAAAACTTTCCTCCTGGTGTCGGGTGCCGGTTTTCACGTGCCTTTAGTAACCCTCGATTTAGTCCCTCTTTCTCAAAGACCAGTTTAAGTTATTATAGAGGTAGCATTCTGCTTTCGTATGAACATTTTACTCCAAGAGAAATACATTTTCATTACAGTAAAATGGAAAAATATAGGTGAGGATAAAGTACAAATCTGAAAACGTTTTGGTATATTTCAATTTGGTTTTCTTTGATTTATGTCTGATTATTCATTAGGAGATAGATAAACAGAGAAATTGATTTCACTCATTCAGGATCACATTGTATGTACCCAATTATGTATCTGTTTTTTAATTTAACATTTTATGTTGATCCTCTTCCTGTGTGATTAAAACATTTGTCTAAGCATTCTTTTTTTTTTAAGATTTTATTTATTTATTTGTCAGAGAGAGAGAGCTCACAAGCAGGGGGAGCGGCAGGAGAGGGAGAAGCAGGCTCCCCGCTGAGCAAGGAGCCCGATGTGGGGCTCGGTCCCAGGACCCTGGGGGTCATGACCTGAGCCGAAGGCAGACACTTAACCGACGGAGCCACCCAGGTGTCCCTTGTCTAAGCATTCTGTCATGAATCAGGAAATTTCCTCCTCCTTGAACAATGATTCCTACTTTCACTGCCATAACTTTTTCTAAGAAATAAAATTGCAAGTTTCCCATCTGCATTCAGTGCAGTAACTTCGGCTCCAAGGACTTTGCCCCCTCCTCGGGCTCTGCAGCCCCCGCGTTGAACAAAAGCTCCAGCAGGCAGCCGCCTTACCCTCCCCTGACACGCCCCCTGCCAGCCTGTATTTGTGGCCTCAGAGCCGCAACCCCACCAACCTGCTCTCCTTCCCTCCATGACCAGAGCAGAAGGGCAGGTAAGGCAAGACTGCACATGACTAAGACAAACTCGAGTGCACAAGGCTTCTGAGAGATGCCTGTGGCCAGGATGCTGTGCTCCAGTTTCAATCAGAGTTAAATGAGGTATGAATCAGCATTACCACAAAAAGTCACAGGGTTACCTCTGGGTGGTAGGTTTGCGGCGGGGGAGGGGGCGGCAGGGCTTTCGTTTCTTGCATATTGTAAATGTTTTCAGTGGTGGAATTTTTACTTTGTGTGTGAGTGTGTGTGTGTTGGGCTCTAGGGTGCTTTTCAAATAAACATTTAAAATAAAATCCAACCCCTGGGTGGTTCAGTCGGTTAAGCATCTGCCTTGGGCTCAGGTCATGATCTCAGGGGCCTGGGATCGAGCCCCGCATCAGGCTCCCTGCTCGGCAGGGAGTCTGCTCCTCTCTCTCCCTCTGCTCCTCCCCCCTGCTCCTTCTCACTCTCTCTCAAATAAATAAATTAAAAATCTTTTTTAAAAACCAAGAATTTGACATAGAGGTCATCTGTCCATATAACCTAGCCATTCTCTGTCATTGATTAAGTAGAGCTTTCTCTTTGGAAATGTAATCAATTTTTTAGTCTATAAGAAATGTGCCCAAATCCTCCTTCATCTTCCTCTGTCTTATGCCTTCTTGAATATCTGTCTCCCTGCAAAGAAACAGGAAACATGGCTCGCTCCTGATTGAAGGCAAAAGCCCTCTGTGCTTCAACAGGCTAGACATTCAGGTGCCTTTTAATGCTTTTAAAATGCCACTTAATTAACTCATATTTTAAGTTTATTAAGATGCCAAATCAATTTCGTTGTGTGACACGAAAATGTGTAAACAAAGTGTCTCTTTAGTAGAAGACGTCTTTACTGTCTTTTAATAAAATTAGAAACATAGCTCTAACTTATGAGCTATTTTAAGTGAAATTCGGAATCTCTACGCCTGTTTCTTCTATTTTAAAATGTAAAAAGAATGAAGTTTTTAGGAGTCTCCCTGGGCTTGCTGCCTGGGTCTCCCTGGCTATACCGGCTCTCTTGGTGGTTTCACCCTTAAAACCTTGACAAACAATATGTGACAAGTCCATAGCTAAGAGAACTGTGTGAAAAATCAGTTCCCACGGTGAGCTGCCAGGACATTCGAGGAGTGGGTGTATGGACAGGGGCCCCAAAGGACTTTGCATTCCTTTGTTAGCAAAGGCTTCTCCCATGGACACCTATCCCAAAGTAATACTGGGATTTGATGCACAAATCCCCCTGCTCTTTGGGGGAGAAAACCTCGGGGGACATGTGTACACCCTGTGGGTGCCATGCTTCCAGAAGAAATACACAGGTGACCAAATCCAGACGAAAGACAAACAAACGCTGGCTCAGGTGGCTGCCATAAAGCAAAGACAAATGTTCTTCCCAGATAGTTTGAACATTTCGAGGGAAAGAGTCGATTGTGGTTATTTGGAAAGCAGTGTGACCAGGCGGCTCCAGTCCTGGCGGTAAGCTCATGTTCTGAAAGGAAGAGAGTCCTGAATTCTCCTTTGTGGGGGCCACAGGTCACCCCCCAGCCTGGAGGCCACAGTCGGGACAGCAAAGGCTGAGTGGCACTAAGCAGGTGAAAAGAAACAAAAGGGCTAACAGCAGAAGGATGACCTTGGGCACCGGCGGCGTGAGGGACGCTGTGGGGAGTAGGGGCTGGGATGGCCGCATGGGCCAAACTGCTGCCATGGCGGGAGCCAGCAGGCCCGATGGTATTGACGCTCCGAGTTTTCCTAGAAGAGTGAAAATCTAGATTTTTATTTGAAAGTTTTGGTTTTAAAGCATGGGCTCAATTTTTTGAAAAACACAGTGACAACCAAAACACAAAAAGCAAAACTGAAACTACCACATCTGGCCCACCAACAGGATAATCATCTGTTCCTGGTTGCCTGAAACCCCTCCTAGTTACACCTTCAGTCTGGCTGTAATTATCCCCATAAGTGACGAGGTCACCCTTCCCATGAGGCCCACGGCTGGCCCTCCCATCCTAGTGAAACCACTTGACCCTACTATCTGATTACGCAAATGAAAAGCAAAGACTCTGTTTGCAGATCTCTGAAATGAAGACATTTGAGAAGCTGCGCGCCTAAAAAGCCTTATTGTTCTCTGTGATCAGGTACAAGGGGGCCCAGCTGTAGGCAGAGCCTCATCCCCGGATTACTTTTCCTGATGGGAAATGCTCCTTCTCTAAGTGAGGTAGGTATTGGACTATAGGTGCCTGCATCATTATGGGCCTTTTTGAAAGTATGTGTTCCTGTTTGAGTGGCTGTTCAGAAGAGGTCAAGAGTGGAGACCCAGAAGCCTAAGAGGAATGGTAAGTCCCAACCTTTGCTCCGCACGGGAGTATCAAGTCCAGGCTGTATTACTCATGACCCCAGTATATAATATTTAGGACCAAAACCGCCTGACTCCTTAAAGGAATGCACTGATGTTACAGTGTCGGATGTTCTCCTATGCTCTGATTTAATGAGTCTGGGATGGGTCCCAGGAATCTGCATTTTAACTTGTGAGTCTATTGATTCCAGTGCACATAAGCCAACTGCGTTCTGAGAAACATGGGACTCAGGGGTTAGGGAAAGACCACATCCCTACAGGGAGAGGTGGGGTCCCCTGTGAAGGGAATGGAATTGCCCTCCCTCGGTCATGCTGGGCAGGAATAGGAAGACAGGTGGGATGGAATGTTTCTTCCCTCTGGGCCTCCCAGATTCCAAAGAGACGAGGAGGCCTTGGAAATCCTCCTGGGGTGTGAGAGAAGCTGGTCTCTGGAGCACGGAGGCAGGTTGGGGGCTAGGCTGGGAAGCCACCTGTGGCTGGTACTCCGTGAATGTGACCAATGATCCCAGAGCCTCCAGCAAGCTCTTGACGTCTGAGCTGTGATGTACGAGAGGAATCTATTCTTCTTCTCAGTCTGTGCCTACTGTTGGGCTTCAGGGAGGCTTAAAGGGGGAAGGGCATATACCCCTAAGGTGCTTACAGCAGCACCTTAGAAGTCAGTGGCCCCGGAGAGTGCTGGAGGTGACTCCCTATGGAAAAAGCCTGTCAGAGGCCCAGAGCAGGGTGGGAGACCATTAGGGTGCATCTCCCCATCACTCCTGTACAGAGAAGGGGGCACAATGAGGGGCACTTGTCCTTTAGCCACGCAGGAAGACACTTTTGAACAAATTTGGCCTTTTGTTGCTAATAGTTTAACTGTACCCATGAACGAAGAGGAGTCGG